TTTATATCGACGTCGAGAAAAATGTCGCGCACCACTTGTGCCGCATATACGCCGCGCAGTGTGTATGTTGGGTTGCTGACCATTTTCTTTACCATGCAAGCCATGAACGTTTGTATATAGTTGATGAGTTTTCTATGTGACGTCGGCCGATTTTGTGCCAACCAGCGTCATTCATTAAAGTTTTAATTACAACACTTTTGCCGCGCACGAGCACGACCAGAACGGATGTCAACCATTTTTCCCATTTCCCTGCCTGGGTATGATCCGCACGTACGCTTGCGTGGCTCGCGCACGCGCGTTATTAAATTGCAGCAACTTTTTCATCATCGGGGAAATTTCTGCGCCGATCAGCACGCGATTTTTACTCGTTTATCAAATCCCTCGAACGTTTTATTCACGTGTTGTGCTAATGTAGTAAATTGCTGTGTTAACGTGTGTTCCGCTATCGATTCATAATCGATCCAAATGTACACATTTATACTGTGCGGTGCCCTCTAATTACAGCACGATGTATTTTTATCATACTCAACGCGAGGAGGAAAATTTAGTTGTCGGTGAATTGCACATGACAAAAGTTCTCGGGGAATCTTCACCCTCCATCAAGTCCCTTTTTGCACAATAGGACGAGAGAACTCCCAAAGTATCCCGCTGTGCCATGAAATATTGAACGAGCGCCACGGCGGAATGCTGCCAAAACGCGCGCTGGCACGTTCAGGACTTTTGACTTTGTCCTGGATTCCGTCTGAAGTGCGCGTGGTCCGAATTTTACCCAATTTCCAATTTCCCAGCTGCCATTCGCGTGCATTTTGCGAGAGCACCTTCATCGAATTCATTAACATTCTGATATAGCACGCTCAGACATAATTGATGCCCGCCGCTTTTGATAGTAAACTACCCGTTAGCTTCTAACAAGAGAAAAGTCGTAATTAACGACGTGCTTCTTCTGTTGCAGCAGTATTGACCCTTCAAGAGGCGCGCCAGACGCACTCAGTCACTCTCGGCCAGTTTTTGGGTAAGTGCCAAAAGTTTTTTCAGATTTTTAGAAATAAATCAAGATTTTTCTTTTCATTTTACTGTGCGTTTAGTATCGGCACGCACAATCTTTCCAACCCCTTAAGCCCTTCCACCACTACAAGTTAAACATCGCCGCGTGCAGATATGCTAATCACCGAAGCCTGAACACCACCATCACTCCTTTAAATAAGTTACACGTTTCCTAGACGCTACGAAACTTACAACTTACAACCCGTTGGTTGTTCAGCTAGCTTGATCAACATTAAATCCTATGCTCATTTATACAGTGTGTTCATTACTAAATTTATACTAGGTAATTCTTGGTCGTATTATAAAGTAATAGTAATTTCACCTACTCGGTAGCTTATAGCTTAAAGCAGTAACTTGGTAATTTCGATTCAAGTCGTAAAATTGAAACGTTGTGATTGTGAGTGTAACGTTAGATTTGCATCACATTGGAAATTGGAGATTCAAAGTGTGCGCACCCGAATCGTCGTCGTCGACACAGTCAAGTGCTTATATAATATGCTCTCACCTGTGATTTTAGAGCGACGAGAGTAGAGAGCTAGTAAAGATAGACACCTAGGAGTAGTCTAGTAAAGCAATCGGAAGGATATGGTTGTAGATGTGGATGTGGGTGATGTGGGAACAACGTGTGTGCGGTCTGGTATTGAATTTTCGGCTGATAGTAGGTTTCTAGGACTTTGTCTAAAATAGGAGGGGGGATGTTGGGTTTTGGTGCTGGAGGGGTTAGCACGCGTGTTGGACTAACACTTGAACTGTTCTCAAGTGATACCCGACCATGCACAGTCATTGCGATCGATTATATGCAAAGATAATGACGAGGGTAGATTTATTGCTGGATTGGGGGTTGCTAAAGTTCCGTAATAGATGGAATATGAATTTTGCAAACAATGCTTATTTATTGCTATTACCTGGCAGGCGAATATGTACGAATTTTGCACGTTTTAGAAGCTTAAAGTCTCTTTTGTGACTCTATGACACTTTGTTGACTTAGATATTGTGATATCTTACTATTGCAGTGAACAGAAATAAATACGACAATAAAGGCGTTGAGTTCTGATTTTGAGAGGGCGGTATATTGTTAATCCGAATAGTTTTCGCGCTGGCATTGTTGTTGCGGCTTAAAACCTGAATAGGCGGCTTTCCTGCTCGTAGCTCCCTGGTGTACGCGTGGAAAATTGAGGGAAACGCTTTAGCCTAGTGGCGGAAACTGGTATATTCTGCATCTTGCTTACAGTCGATTGGCACTTATGCGCGTTTAGCATGGGGCACTTATCCCCATTGCGCATGGGGTAGCGAAAGTGGAAGCTTTGCATGCTTGAATAGCTGGACTTTGAGCTTTTCGGGATTTGGTAATAACAATTTACCAGCCAAGTTTTACAATATATATAAAATTTATTAATAGAAATATTATTCAAATATTTTTATGCAGTTAAAACAAAAAGAATAGTATTTTATTGTTTGAAGTATTTTTATAACTTTTAACATCAGTTGCAGGGTTAAATATAATATTATGGTGTGTATTTTGGCGTTTATTTAAACTTTTTTAGCGAAAGTTTATTTTTTGTGAATTTGATTTTTTGACTTTGCAACTTTTTTAATTCCGTTTTTGATGTGGCCATCGAGAGGAGGGCCCTCGACACACAAATTAATCGTACTTGCGCGCACAACTTTCGCCTTTTCGCTTTTTTGAAATGTGTTTTTAGCGCGCTGCGTTTGCCTTCCGAGGATGAAGTTACATGGAAAAACTCGGGAGGCGCGCCACGTTAATTAATCCCCAAAGAGTGGAGGAAATTAAGTGAAATTATGTGGGTTAATAAATCGCTGAGAAGTTGCTGTGTAACGGCCTAACGCTCTTGCGCCAACAAAAATGCTCACCGAAAATCATGATCAAGATGATCAAAAACTCTTTATATTTTCCATTTATATAATTAGTAGAAATTTTTAATTTTGCGATATCAATTTAATTAATTCCATAATTGCGACTAAGTAGGATTCTATTTATCCACTTTACGTTTTGGAGCGCTTCGATTGTGGATTTGGCGCGGTTGTTCGAATTTCATATTGAATTTGTGTGCCGTAATCGAATTAGAGAAAATTCGCCAGCACTCGAATTATTACGATAACACAATGGCCGCATGATTTAAAACGCACGCCAGCGAACAAAAGAGACACGAACACGAATCAATCGAATTGAATATTACATAGATTCATAGACGGCGGCGATATACGTGAGCGCAGGAAAAGCGGATGTTGCGAGGGTGTGATGATGAATGAGGGCGAGAGTAGATTTTGAAGGTCGCGGCGTCGCGTTGAGTTTTCGATAATCTAATTATGAATCTGTCAATTCAAGCAAATTCAACATTTCGGAAAACAATTCAATTAAATTAGGCAAACGCTGAAGGGTTGACACACTGACGCTTACCAAGTTATTGAGTAATCACTAAATTCGGATTACAAACAAATCCGATTATTTAAAATAGTGTTTTAATTCGATGTGTAGTATCGGCTCTGATCGAATGACCTAATTTTTGTCATTAACGAGCATCGTGCCGACGACTAATTTGATTAGCCTACGGCGAGGCTGGTGCACCAGTACGCCTACGTATGTACTTCCAACTGCAAGTATAGAAACCTAAGTGAGGAAGCGGCTCGTCGGCCAAGTTAATATCTATCGGCAACTTTAATTACCAAGAACATACAAGTTAAGGGGCATGTAATCTCTTCGAGCTCTTGCGGTTGGAGGCTCCTTGGTTTCGCCCAGCGCTGACATTAACGTCGACACCGTCGCTCGACCTCGAACCGACACCCGCAATGCTTCTCGTGTCGTGTGTGCGGGTTGTGAGGGTTTTTGGACGTGGTGGAGGGTCTCCCGGACCTGACTCGCGGCGGTTGCGGATCTACTCTATCATATATACCCTCCATTCAATTAACGTCCGCATTAATTGCCTGTTTGATTGATGGCGGAATTGCAGCGGGCGCGCGTGTTTTCTCTTTGATTAATGTAAACCGATGAAAAAGCCACGCGGATAGTTTCCAGCGATGATTCGTCGATCTTCAAACAGCAAATTGCTAAATGGAAGTTGCATGTTTTATTCGATGCGAACGCGTTCAATCTGCCGTGGGAGCACTCACAGGCATCCGGATCAATTCATTCTCAAATCAGGAGTATCAAGAGTGAAAGGCAACGAGAAAAGTCTATAAAACTATTTATTTCATTAAATACAATTAAATTGGCAGAGAACCTTACTACACTTTGTGTTGGGTGGTTTTTATTTCAACAATAACATTTATGTTACCCAACAATCTTTTATCAGAATACTAGCTTTTGCCACCGACTTCGTTCCAGTAGTGTTTAATAAAAATATTATTTGTTTTACTCTCTTGTTCTAGACATAGTAGGTACGTGTCAATTCTATCAAAAAGATTCGCAATTTTATTTTAAAAAAATTAATTATTTCAAGAATTGCTTATAATGTACTTCAGTGCGCCATCTAACTATAACTATGATTGAATCTCAATGCCAACTTTTATCCTATAGAAAAGGCTGTCTTTAGGGTTTTCCGGGCAATTATTTGAATTTTTCTTGCCGTAAAACCATCCTTGGACTTTACCGAACATTTAAAAATGAATTGGCCAAATTGGTCTAGGCGTTCTTGAGTTATGCGCTTACCAACAGATTTTGCGATTAATTTTTATATTATAAATTATTCAATCATTATCCAAGGTATTAATACTTGATTTAATTTATATAAGGTGTTTATTATGTTGCCTAGCGTTAGTTTACTTGACGATTTAGTAACATAACGCAATCTAAAACCAGTATTATTATCGCATCCTTATCTTTCTCAAGCGATGTTCTGTGTTTACAAGTTGCGTGGAATTTGCACAAATAATTTATTATCACGCGCATGTTTTCATTCTCATCGTGTGTTAGTATTCCGCGAGTTGTTGCGCTGTGCACAGGTAAAAATACACATCACTGAGTTATTACCTTTTATTGTGATAACTAGTCATAATCTATAAACTAGCAGTAATAATACGTGTCTATTCAGTGTTAATTGCTGTGACTAGTCGTTTCGCGTCCGTTATTAATGTCGATATTATTCGTGTTTGTGCATTGTGTGAGGTGCGCGCCGTGTTTGTTTAGTTGTTGATTGAAATTAAATTCGTGCGGTCGTATATAAAATTCGGATTAACTTCACTCCCCAACGATGCGTGTCTGTACGTAATTGTAACCGGCTATTAGTTATTATGATATGATTGTTTACATTTGTTTTGTTTGGCTTGTTGCAGAATCGGTTATTGAAGTCGTCGACGTTTGGAGGTCGGTCAAGACTTTGTCTGCATCTCTTCACTGGTAAGATTTTATGTTTTGTTTTAAAATATATTAATGCGCGCGATAAGAAGCGGAAGTTTTTGGTCGGGTTGTTTGGAGCAGTCGTAAAATTAGCATTTTTATGATACATTTGTCTGCCGACGCATATTTCACCCCGCGAGCGTGTAATTTGTCTCGGGGTGCGTTTTATTCTCTTTGGGGGCGCTCCCGTTTCGCAAACACGGGACGTTTACACTTTGGCGTTTAATGTGGCCGAGCGCAAACCCGAAAACCGGAAAACGCGACAAACAAATGACTAACAAACGACAATCAGGCAGCGCCTACAAATTACGACGTCCGTGCACACTGGGTTGCATTCTTGTCAAGCGGCCATCACGAAATTGTCAAACATGGCGACGGTATTTTCCCCTTTTTTTCCAACAACTCGACGATTTGTTTTTTTCTATTGACAAGAAACAAATTGATGTATTTAGGCATTGATTGTTGAACCTCACATTTATTGATTGATTGTGATCGCACGCAATGCGCGCTAATAGCTAGTTCGCAGTGTCGATTTATCACGATTACTAATTGTCGCACTAATGGCATTTGGTTTTCGTCACGCGCGTTTAACGCAATGATGAATACACAGCAATCGCAATCAACCTCGCCTGGTAATGGAGCGATAGAAGAATCACAAATTGCAAACAATTGATATAAACTACAATAAAATACATTGTTTCTGGTGATAAGATTTAATAATAAGATCGTGTGCTTACGTTAGGATTTCGAAATGTTCTTCTGCGCTGGACGGACTTGTCAAGCGTAGAAGATTAAAAAGCTTAATAGCGTCGTACTCGCCGAATACAAAAAAAAATCGAGGAAGTAATCCGCGTAATTAAAACCTTTTCTAATTTCGACGCAGTGCTGCGCCGCCTTTGTCGGTCTTAAATAACCTCGCTTGTGTCAACGCAAAGAAGCTTCCGGCCGCGTTCACAAATCTCACCGGTTTTTTTAGCACTATGCAAAAAATACTGTAAAATTTTTTCTGTGCGTACTTTGGACATGGTGTATGCAAATACAAAAAAGGGATTTACATTTGTGCCGAACGTGAAGTGGATGGCGGATGTGCGAAGTGGGTTCAGCTGATGTGAAGTTGACGAAATTGAAGATTACTTGATTTTCTAGTATTTCAACGGCGGGCGCCGGCAGCTACTTCAATATAATCGAGTCGGGAGGCGGCGGCGGCGGCGGCAGACGTGACGCCGCACAATGATTGAAGCGCGCGATTACAAACGGCGCTCAGACCTCGGCGTATTTACATTTTGCGACATCACTCGCGCACTCCTAATGAAAGTCGTTCTAATTCATTTCATTGATTCCGAGAGTACTTTGCACACAGATTCAATTCAAAATTCATCACAGATGGCGCTCCATGCGGCGAATTAGATTTAATTAATTCTCAAGGTCAATGATATCAAATAAAGCACATGCGAGATTTATTCGCTAATAAAATAAGCCGTCTTTCACGAGACGGCGGTTGGAATTTCCCAAAGAGGATTGACAAAATTAAAACACAACGCGCCTCCAAGGAGTGCATGCCCTCCTCGCCCGGGACGTTGAAAAGACGCCCGAGTAACGTCAAAGCCGGCTAACTATATCCCTAGGGAAATCGGGAACAATGTTATAGCCGTACGCTGGCAGCGGCTCGATAACCGACCGGAAACGCAAACCCGAGAGCGCCGCCGATACCGGAACAGCGCGGTGCTCTACTACCCAGTATGGCGGTAGTGAGTGGGTGGCGTGTGCATCGGAACTGAGGATATACGAGTATCGGCGGTGTACGAAAAAGATCCGCAGTCGAAGATTCCAATGGCGGTCAACAATACGGCCAGCACCCTTGGGTTAAATATTTCATGAGCCTCGCATTTATTTTGATGAAAAATTCGCCCTGCTGGCGAGAATTTAGGTCAATAATGATTATATTGTACTATCACGAAATTAGTTTGACGCCGATCTATCTGTATGCAGGTAAATCAGATTGTGATCCTGGTCAACAGACCATCGCAAATCGCACCGCCAAACAGCCATTAGCACGGACACCGTGTGTACACCGCTATTACACCACGCACGCATCCCCTAATTTTCATAATTTATCACCACAATAGACCGGATGTAGTTTGTGCGTTGATTTTGGTCCTGTGCGCTGCCGGCCGTGACTGGAAACTAACGCTGAACAATGCTGCCGCGAAACTGAGGGATGTTTCCTGCATTCGTACATGTCGTTTAAGTATGGGCGCATGGGTGGCCCACCGGGTTGACGGAATGATTAATGCCCGGCAGCTTAATGTTTCAAAACGAAATTTTCGACGCTGAAATGTCAAGTGATTTATACACGCATAGGAAACATTGCACACGAACATCGAAAACTATTTTGTTTGTTGGGTGAAGATATCTTTTTTGATGGTGATGGAAAATCTAGCTTTGCACATGGCCATAATCTGTCGGATTTGTGCGCGAGTATTACTAGTGTGGAGAGTGTCAAACGATGTCCTGGAAAATGCGAAAATCGTGATCCTTGAAAAATGTCAAGTTTAAAGTGAAAACATATTTTTTCATTCATTTTATACGATTTTTTTCTTCTGGGTGCTGAAAAAACTATTATTCGCTACGTTTACAAAAGTGTAATTTTGCAGACTCTCCGCATTTTCACACCGTGCTTAACGATATCCCCAGCACTCGCGGAATATGATCGGATTTTATATTAAAGTGGATCGTAAAACTAAAACCGGGGACCTAAAAACCATTGTCGGCGATGATTATTTTATACGTCAGCATTTGGAGTAATTTACCATAATGTGGTGTAAATTTACCGAAATTATGCATGCTTTTAAAGGTCAAGGTCGTCTTGAGAACCTGTAAGGTTTGGCGATATATTTTTGGGTTTTAATGAAAAGATACGCGTGATAATAAAAACATAGGAATAAAAGGGCAGAAGACCCAACAAAACAAAAATGTACGGTGGTGTTTGCAACGCGACGGACGTTCCGAATAATTCTCGCTGACTTTATAGCAGTTCCCTTTTTGTCCGCTTCGTCTTCTTTTGCCTGTGCTTGTTTGTCTTAGTCCTCTGGAGCGTTCATTTCAAAAGCCGTCTTGGAAGTGAAAATTAAAGAAACGTGGCAATGATAAGTTTCTTTTGTCATTGATGATGAATGGGTTATACAGGGTATTAAAAGATTTTTTTAAGCACAAAAAGAACGATTAGTAATATTAAAAATGGCAAAAAATACTTTTTAATTATGTTAATCGTTTTGTTGTTGCTATTTTTATCACGAAAAGAAAAATTCTGCTGATATTTTCATTGACTGACATGTCACCGGGTTATGGTGAGAAAATGGTTTTAGTTCTTTCCGGTCGTGTGTAGTTTACGAGGCGGCTTCCTGTCCGCAACCGTTCGATACACCTTTTACAGGAGTAGGATATTGTGCTCCTTCGACACCGGCTTGCCGCTCTTGTTTCATAATGTTGCGCGCGTTCCCGTTCGTTTTCCGGTTTACGCTTTCAATGAGCGAGAATGTGTGTATATTCTTTTTAAAGCTTTTCCGCATCGCCCGAATTGAATATTGACTTGAAAGGACGTTCTTCTTGAAAAGCTATCTATTTTAACAAGTTTAACCATAAAAAAGAGTAAGTTTTTGGTCGTTTGATTTTATTTTGCGCTCGAAAATGTTTTTTTCGCGTTCGACGCATCGACATGATTTTCTGGATAACCGCTAAGTGCAAACAAGGACGTTCTTAAGAAATATATTCACGTCGCGGGCGGGCGTCCGGGACGAAGTGGTCTCGACGCACTCGAAGCAGCCTAACTTTGCGTCGAACAAGTCACGAACAGTGCGCGAGATTAAATAAAAAGTGGAAAAGGGAGGAAAACAGATGAAGAAAAAAATGCAGATGGAAAGAAACGCCGAAACGACGATTATTATTCACAAGGAATATTCGCAAAGTAAAGACCAATTAAAATTTAAATTCGCATGCAGATTTTCATTGTCATTTAAATCGAGCGCGGAGTGAGCGGGGCAAGGAAATCGGTCTTGTGTTACATGCCGGATGACTTCATAATCTTTGTACATTTATCCGGTCCTTCATTAAATTTGTAATTTTTTCAAAATACAATTTCATTACTTTATTTAATGCATAATATTTTACTCGTAATTTTATACTTACTAGGTAAATGTACTAACGACTGCAATTGCAGAATTTCTACGATTAACGTGGCAAAGAAAAGCAGAGCGCTTTATGGCCGGCATCGTGTCTACGAGATTAAAACTTTTAATCAGATACGGGCGAGCATTACAAATTCATTTAGCGCCGTATGTGGTCGTGCGGAGTGCACTTACATTGCACTGACTTTACGCACAAAACCGAAATCGTTCGCAAACGTTAGCATGCGCGCTAAATTGGATGCCCGGCGCCTCCACCACTAATGCACTAGAAATAATTAACCGCAGACGCATTTCATTCGTTTTTCAATTTATCTAAGAACGGAAATAAATTATAAAATTTATCATTAATGAAATTTAAGTTTTCTCCGTCGTTTGATGTTGTAGAATGTTTACAACGAAAGGACGGATTAGTTAATTAAAATCATAATCCAATTTGACCGTAAACACATGCCGAGGATTTTCCACACTCACGCATGCTCGCACCCTTATCATGCAACATCCTTCACGCTCATCATATCCGATTTTCTTAATACTATTATAATAATTTGCGATAAAAACACAAAGACACACACAAAATACAACACGATATTAATTAATTCTGCGCGCTGCTCAATGTTAATCAATTAATTAATTAATCAGTTTATAGCTGTAGTTGTGTTTGGCGGTTATTAATTACTCATTCATTCACTTGCAGTTTGCTTGTAGCGCACAAATTGAAACATTGATTACATTGATCAAGCTGTCATTGAATGAGGTCGGGGCGCGCGAGGAAAATGTGCGCAAAAGTTTGTAATTTGTAAATTTGCATGCGCCGCC